TCCGCCGACATTCTTTCGCAAGCAAAAGGCCCGGAGAAGTTGGATGGGTGGGAGAGGAGGGGGGGGGGGGGGGGTTAGGAGGCAACGGAAGGAAGCCCAAATATAAAGCTAAGCTAGCTTTCTACACCTTACGATAGAGCTGCACTGCTGTACAGCCTTTGTCGTTTCATAGAAAATGTCTATTTAGAGCCGACGTCAAGTGACAAACCCCCTATAACGAAGACAATGCAGCTCAATTTGAGTGAAGGTTTGCCGTCGTTTTTCTCTTTAGGAGGACATACGTTACTCAATGATTTGCCATCGCAAGTCACTTTAAGACAGTGTAAAAGGTTATGGAGAAATAAAAAGAAATAAAATATAAAATGTTTTAGTAAAATATTGAGCAGCAATTTTGCCACATTTAGAGAAACCAGCTGCATTTCTCCACACCACTATGATAATGACTAAGCATATATTTTTTATATATTTGTAAAGCGATTTTAAAGATGCTCATTTTGATATATTTTGCGTCATTCTGTTATATGAAGTTGGAGAATGACTTGTGAATGTGTCTCTATAACGTGTTTATTTGACGTGTATCGTAGAAATGTTTGCATAAAAAGTTTTTATTGTAATTTTTAATATTTTTTGCACGTGTTGTAGAGCTTTTATAAGATACATTAAAAGTATTACTACCTACACACTTGGGTCTGAAATTGACGGCTGCGAAAATTGCCATAATGAACCCTCGGCAACCTCCGCGCCGCGAATTTCGAAATTAGTTATCTCCAAACGAAAATTAGCTACAACGTTCATATATATCTGAATGCGCCTCCCCAAAAAGATAGCTTTCACATATACTTTATATATATATATATATGTAAAAGATGACCCGTGCCATCTTTGAAAGATCTGACGTGGAAACACCCAGGAGGAGAATGCATTCCGCTGGAACGCTTTTACCTGGTGATGGTGGAGCGACGCTTTAATTGGTTCTCCAGAGCCGTTGCCTTCGCCGTTGGCCAAGTTATGCTGTAACAAATAAAGCGTGAACTGTTCGGACTAATGTCCAGAACAAGCTGTCACGTGTTCTTTGCAAGCTCGTGCGCCACTGTTTATCCCAGCCATCTGGTTTGCTCAAGGAACCATCTCTGCTTCAGACGTTTTAAAGTTGGGCGATTTCCGTCACCGCACTAAATCTTTCCCGAAGAAGCGCAACTTGACGTGCGACGTCATGCTCGCGTCCAGTTTGTGAACCGAGTTCAGCCGTCGCGCGCCCCAACATCGTTTGCAATCGGTCGGGTCGAGGCAGTTAGCCGTTTCAAAGGAGAGTATTATAAAAACGAGACCTAGACCGAACTTATTGCAGAAATTTCACAACGGAGATCACGTTTTTAGCTCCACTCCCATGTGTGCAAAAGCTCTTTTGCTTTTCACTTCGCGATGGAAGGTAAAAGGATTCGAACCCACTGCCTGGCACCCGTCACTGACCAGTGCGTTTACCACGTCCTCAAAAGCGTTTGTTTCGATTTCCGCCAGATTGCGCCATGAAAGTGTCACGTCTCGGCGTGCTTATTCGCACCCGCCCGATTCAAAGGGAAGAGCTTCATCATCATCATTATCATCAGCTGCTTCTGCCTGTCGCGATCCTGGCGGTAGCATAAAGCAGCGGAAGTGGATGTGGCAGACGCTTGTTCTGCTGCAGGTCTCCCTGTAGCCAGACAGTCGGCGGAAACCAATGCAGGCGCGAGTTGGGACGCGACGACAACGCCGCTCGCGTGTGCTCGGCCTTTTTCGCCGGCACGTCACAAGATCGCGACATCCGACAGGACGACGCGTCGGCTCTACTTTGACGCAATCTGTTACCACTTTGAGACCACTTTCATTGCGGGGACGGGATGGGACGGTAAACAGGCCGGTCGGAGACGCGCGTTCCAGACATGGCATATAACCGGGCAGTTTTAACTCGCCCGCGAGGGACGCGTGCTTTTGAGCGAAAGGCGCAGGCTTATTTTCCGATAGCGAGGGGCCTTAGAGGTGTATGTTTAGGCTGACTAAGTTGCATAGATGACAGATAGATGGTAGATAGATGAATGATGATAGATGGTATGACACTTCGGTCAATTTAAAACTTATCGTGCTTAACCTGTTTTACTATCGCGAGAATAATTATCATAATAAAAACAAAACCTTTTTTTTTGTCAGAATAGGCGTTAGAGATCAAAAGGGCAAGGGGAACAAAGTGTTTACAATGTTATTTTTGCATGCCTCTTCGAGTGAATGGTCATTGTGGAAGCGCTATCGGACAGGAGAGAACATGTGACAGTATACGTGCTCCGGAGTCGCGACACTGGTATCGTTATACTAGAGACGCGGAGTTTCTCCACAGACACGATGAGAAAATTGCCCTCGGCTACGCCTCGAGTATCCTCAAAGCATGTTTGCTTCATGCATGCGTTGAACGTGTTGGCAGACAGCTCTCGCATGAGCGACGTGACGTCATGCAAAGAAGAAACACGCCGAAAAAACAGTGTCTGTCTTTTGTACCATGTATTATACTTCGATTTTCAACTCAAATGCAGACGCGGCCGAAGCTACGAGGTAATACGGCCGATCAACCAACTTCAAAAGCGGAAGTCCTTTTTTTTTTTTTTGTTGCTTATGACTGGTTCAGCGACGATAGAACACGTAGTGACGAACACCACGGCAGTGTGCTTTGACACTGTCTGATCGTTCCCATCAGCTCGTATACCGTCGGCTGCGTGTGGACAGAAGGCGAACCGAAGTATAGCGGTGTGACTGCGGCAGTCACTGACAGGGTAGGAACGGCGCTCGAGTCCAATCCGTGCCCTCCGCTGGCCCTCTTTAGATGACGTCGAAAAATTTGGCACTACGGTTTTGTTATTTTTAAAAGGGAACTAGGCCGGCTTTTTAAATTTTTATAGCTACTTAATCCAAAAGCATCATCTGAACGCGTATGGCTTTACGATTCTGAAATGCCATCTCGTTTCCCCAGATTACCTCTATTTAAAGGGATTGTCCGGTAAAACTTTCTTTCATAAAACATTTATGGAGAATATCATCCGCACAATATTCGAATTTTTTATCCTCCGCCGTACAAGTAGCTCTATTTTAAACAGAGCCCAACTGCTCAGATTGCACCCGCAAAACACACAACGTTTTCGTACGAAACAGCGGAAGCTCTGACGTAACATCATGCAAAGGAAGCCACGACAGCTCTTGACTGCTGTTCCAGTAAAATAAATTCGTTCTGAGAGATGCGAGATTCGCGGTATTGAGTGAAGCTCAATTCTTCCACGATGATCCTTGCACGCACCATTTACCATATTGATCAAATCCGGGAATACGTCGACGCCCGCGACTCTGACGTTTCCATGCCTGATGTGACGTCACGACACGACCATTCATGCATACTTGCGAAATTTATCATGAAGTTTCGTATGGTGTCCATAATTGATTTCACCAATATCGGGGCGTCTTTGAGTTAAATAAATATCACATGTGACTTTACTTACGCCCTCTCTAAGTGTCCAGCGCAAAAACTTAGTAACGTCCGGATAACAGCGGACAATCTTTTTAATTTTTTTATAAAAGTTATATTTTGCTGATAATGCAATAATCGCGAAGGTGCGAGCGAGCTGGACAAGAATGACAATAATAATCTCCGGAGAAGAGCAACAAGGGGAACAAAGGACAAACACAAATCCGTTTGTGTTTGGAGATTTGTGTCTTTTCTTTCTCCTTCTCGTTTACCCTTCTAAAGGCAATATTATCGTTATATTTTGTTGGCTACCGAAACCGAAATTTTGTTCTCCCTAGTTTTTCCCCGGTTTTCCCCGCAATCCAAACGTGACGTCACCGACAGGGGGAGCGCGCCGCGCGGCAGGCAGTCGGGTACGTTCGCGCCCCCCTTTCTCGCGTGCTGTCTGAATTTTGATAATAATCTATATTTGTGCAAAATATGACCTTGGTCGACGTGATTAACTACAAGTAAAAATAAAAGAAAGCAATTGAGATTTGGAGAAAGCCGTTTCTGCAACTCGGTACGCACAAGCCGCGACTGTCGTTTTGTCCAATCGCTAGCATAGATATGTTCTCCTAATAGAAGCAAGCAGTTTCGCAGGCGAAGAAAGTTAGAAGAGACACGCAATATATTTTTGGACAAATTACCCGACCACCACGGAGAATGCTCGCAATGTGTGTGGAGCGTGCCATGCATACTCTTGCCCTACCCGGAGAAAGGTGCCGTTTTGTTTTTAAATTTTCTTGAGAAAAGTTACGGTTGCAGACGGGTTGCACGTGTAACTACTCTTGTAGCATTCACATGCTCCTTAGTGGCTGGGAAATTTAGCGAAGCATATTTAAACCATTCCCAAAAAGGCGCTTCTGGTCGATGGCAATTTCAGCGTTCCTGCGTGTACTTTGCTCGCCTTCCGAAGCAACAAACAAGCGCGTGCTGGGCTGTGATCTAAAACATGTACACTGTGATTCTCGTACACATTGAAATGCATAGAATAGAATGAACCGTAATCCAGACGGCAGGTTACTGTTCACGAAAATTGTGCTAAATTGAATACGAAAAGAACTCCGCAACCACTGTGCCAAATGTCAAGGTGAAATGAAGGCGTTAAAAATACAGGACCTCACTAATTCTGTTCAAATAAAGAACATTTGCTTGAAGATGCAATGGTGCGTTAAGTATAGAATTGCATCATAAAATTTGTAATTCAAAATAAGTTAAGAAAAATTTACCCAAGCAAAAATTGATATCCACAATTTTTTTGTTTTCTTTATGTAGTATATTCGTAGCCGGTGAGGAAAGAAAGCACAGCCGTCCATGTTAGCTGAGTAACTCCTTCTTCTTCTTCTTCCCCTAAGCCCCAGGGCTTATACCACATCTCCCCCTCTTTATTTTCCCATCTTTTCATTTGTATCTATAGGTTCAGTCTCTGAACGGGTCTTACCACACGTCCGCTTCGTGTGACTGGAAGTTGGGAAGTCTACGGCACCGGGCACGACAATTCTTGACTGCGGACGGTCTCGTCAGCTGCTTGGGCGTTCCCTGCGGGTATTGCCATCGTTTCTTGATTGCTGACGTTCTTGTCAGCTGTTTGGGCGTTCCCTACGGACATTTCCATTGGGATCAAGTGGAATCTGTTCCGTCGCACTTCCCCTCTTGGCGTCTTTACTATGTAGGACCGGGGTGGTCCTGCAGATGTCTTCACGAGTCCATCGGTCTTCTGGTCAGTGATCCACACTTTTTCCCCTTCCTTAATTGGCTTCAAGGGGCGTGCACCGTGTCTTTTGTCGAAGTTGGTTTTCTGTGTGAGTTTGTTATTTTCCTCCCATTCCCGGAGCTCTGTGAGATCGGGAGTTTTTGGCTCCAGAAGGTGGTTTGCTATTGGAAGGGACGCGCGAATGCGACGGCCTATCAGAAGTTCTGCAAGGCTGAAGCCATTCCCCAGTGGCGTTGCTCAGTATGCCTGCAGTGCCCAATAGGCATCATCAGGTTTTTTCCAACTGGCCTTAATTATGTTCACGCGAGCTTCCGCAAGCCCATTGCTCTGCGCAAACTTGGGGCTGGATGTAATATGATGAAACTTCCAGTCTCGCGCAAACTGTGTAAACTCGGAGTTCACCAGTCGTTGAAATTGAGGTCCGTTGTCACTGTACACTATCTCTGGTGTGCCATGTCTTGCGAAGATGGACTTCAGGTGATTAACTACTGAGCTCGCTGACAAACTGCTCAAAAGAGCCACCTCTGGGTACTTTGAGTAGTAGTCCGTTACAAGTATATACTACTTCCCTTGCAAGTAGAAGAGATCCATCCCGGCACGCTGCCATGGTCTGTCTGGATATGTAGTAGGGATGAGAGGTTCAGGGCGATCGCTTCTCTCTTGAGTGCATCGTGTGCATCGTCTTACATACGCTTCTATTTTTGTAGACACTCCTGGCCACCAGGCAGACTCTCTCGCTCGAGCCCGACATTTGGTGGTACCTTGATGACCTTCATGTATAGTCTCCAGGATCTCTTTTTGCAGTGAGGCTGAAATGATGATACGGGACCCTCGCATGAGCAGTCCTTCTTCCACGGCAATCTCGTTTCTGTGTCGCCAGTAACTCACGCATTTGGTGTCCACAGTGCTCTTAGAGGGCCAGCCATGCATGCTGTAGTTCCTTAGCAGCTGGCAGGTGTCATCACTTTCTTGCTTTTCTTGAATTTGTTCTAGTCTGTTCGGTGATGCCGGCAGACTGAGAGTAATACCTTGTACATAGGCTGCTATTTCGTCTTCCATTTCTTTGTCTGGGTCCGTCTGTAGTGGGTTTCTTGACAACGTATCTGCAGCCACGAGATATTGGCCTGGGATGTGTCTAGTCTCGTACGAGTACCTCATCATTCTCAGTTTCATGCGTTGGAGTCTTGGCGTGATGTCCTCCAAGCGCTCTGATGTCAATATCGGAACCAGGGGCTTATTATCTGCCTCAATCATAATTTTGATACCCAGTCCCGAAATCTCTCGCAACCCCATACTAAAGCTAGCCCTTCTTTTTCTATCTGAGCGTAGCGCCTCTCTGTCTCGCTCATTGTCCGTGACGCATAAGCTACAGGTTTATACTGTCCATTGTCTTGTTCCTGACGAATTGCCGCTCCAATTCTGAAAGACAAGGCATCAGTGGACAGCACAGGTGGCTTCTTGGGATCGAATAAAGCTAGTACTGGACTTGAGGTGAGTGCCAGTTTCAACTTTTCGAAAGATCGCTGTTGGTCTTCTCCCCAGCTCCAGTGATTCTTAGAGCTAAGAAGTGTGGTCAGAGGGTATGACACTTGTGAAAGGTATGGTATGAATTTTCCAAGGTAATTCACCCATTCCCAGGAAACTCTTCAGTTCGGTGACGTTCGAAGGTGTCTTCATTTGTTTGACAGCTTCCACCTTTGCTTCGTCAGGATGAATTCCTTGGTCAATGATGTGTCCCAAGAATTTGACGCGCGTGACTCCAAACTGGCATTTGTTCACGTTCAACGTTATGCCTCTTTGTTGAAGACGGAATAAGACAGATCGAAGGCAAGTATCTCCTTATTAGAAGAGAGGAGAAAAATTGAGCGATTAAAAATGCTTTTCATGATTGTAGATGGCACACTGCAGATTGATAAACATAGATTCATCAAACCCCATCTATCTAGAATCACACGTAATAAGCATACTAGGACAATCGAAGAGTACAAATTCAACAAAGAATGTTTCAAGAATTCGTATTTCCCTCGGACGATAAGGGAATGGAACAAACTTCCTGAAGGCGTTGTTAAATCCAAAACTGTTTTGGATTTTATGAAGTGTCTCCCATGTAACTAATAGACCTCATCTTATCGTTTTTGCTGTACTTTGTGCTTTTGATATGAGTATTAGGTGTCGTAGAGCCCCTCATTTTTTGTCATTGTGTTCTGCATGTGTATTACATTGTCGACTGTTTTTTGTACTCACTCCTATCATAGTCCCAACTGGGGGACTGATAGTATTATGAAATAAATAAATAAGTCGCTTATCGTGTTCCTGTCTGGTCGACCCATAGACGAGAATGTCATCCATATTGCACACTTGTCCTTCGATGTCACTCAGGACTTGGCTCATCTTGCGTTGGTAGAACTCTGGAGCAGATGTGATGCCAAACGGTAGTCGCTTAAATTTGTATCTTCCGAAAGGTGTAATGAATGTTGTCATGATTTGTGATTTTTCGGCCAACTCGAATTGCCAGAACCCTGAATTGGCGTCCATTTTCGAGAAAAATTTCGCTCCACTTAGTTGTCCCAGTACGTGTTCGGTGACTGGGAGGGGGTGCAGTTCGCGTTCTACATATTTGTTCAGTTCAGTGTAGTCCACGCAAATCCTGAACTTCCCATCTGGCTTTTGTACGATCACCATGGCAGAGCACCAGTCTCTTGGCTCTTCAACGGCTTCAATTACTTCTTGTCTAACCATGTTGGCGATCTCGTCTTTGATCTCGTCCATCAGGGGAATTGGGATTCTTCTGGGAGATGCGAGGGAAAGAGGTACTGCATCCGGACGGAGTTTTATCGTGTAAGGCATCCTCACGTGACCAAGGCCATGAAAAAGTGCTGGGAACTCGTCCTCGGGTCCACTGTCGTAGGTTGACAAGCGAGTACCTCGTTCATTCTTTTGACAACACCCAGGATCTCACTGTCTGTCTGCTCTGGAGAGTAATGGAGTCGGCAACTCAGGTATCACGTAGATGTCTGTTATAGTAACTTTGTCGCGGTACTGGATTTTCTGCTTTTAGCACACCGAGAACAGTTAGTCTTTCTTGACTGGGCCCCCTCAAGGCCCGTCTTGGTGTCGTCAGGGCCGCATTGCCGAGGGATGGTTTGAGTAATCTCTCAGGAACAGCTGTGACGTCGGCTCCTGTGTCGATTTTAGAAATAACCGGCGTGTTGTTGACTTCCACAGTCAACTCCCAAGATTGTGTTCCTGAGGCTTGAAGAACTCCCAAGAAATACGGCTCTTCTGGTGCGTATGTGGTTACCTCTCGGACGTGAGTGCCGCTCCGGCAAACGCTTGCGAAGTGACCACACTCTAAAAAAAAAGGGTGTCATGGGGTACACCCATAGGGGGTGTAAGTGCTTGTCACATATACTACACCCTTTGGGGGAATACAAGTGCACCCCAAATACGGGAGTACGTGTACACCCGTTGGTGTGGTGCACATGTACACCCTTTTCTACAGAAATCTCACTCGAAGGGAACACAGGTGCACCCCATTCAATGGTGTACGGCTACACCTCTTTCTACACCCAATGAGATGAAAGGGAGCACAGATGCACCCCATTCGATGGTGTACCATTGCACCGCTTCATACACCCGCCTCACTCAAAGGGAACACAGATGCACCCCACTCAATAGTGTACCATTACTCCCCTTTCTACACCTACTGCTCTCAAAGGGAACACAGGAGCACCCCGTTCAGTAGTGTACTGTTACACCTCTTTCTACACTCACTAAATTCGGAGAGAACACAGATGCACCCGATTCAAAGGTGCATGGTCGCAGCACTTTATGCACCCGTTTCATAACTTCATAAACCTATTTAAGACATCAAGGAAAACAGTAAAAAATGTATGCGCCCCGGTGATTGCAAAAAGGCAGGAAAACGGACACATGGTATTGTTTTCAAATCTCATAGAAGTTTATTAGACGGCCTATTTCGTAAACAAGTACAAACTTGCAAGCAATCTGTCATATCTGAAGACGTACAAAGAAGCTTTTACACAACTGAAATGATTACTAAGCAAACAAGAACCGGGGGTGAGTCTTAGGTAGTGTCCATTCTGCCAGCAGCCGGTAAAATTATTTCCACAAAATTCCACCGGCAGTCGCCATTAATTCATCGAACGACGTTTTGTCGACAGCTCAGATTAGCTTTTCTATATTAGCTTCTCTCCTTTCTTTTCTTGTAATGAGCCGCCCCAGAATCTATCCGCGAAGTGACGTGTATGGGTGGGACAGGTGGGCTAACATTTTCGTAATGAGCCGTCGCAGACTGTCGCCACGAAGTAGCGCAAACGGGTCGGCTGGGTCGGTGAGCACGCGCCTCAGAGATACACGCGCGACAAAATGTCCCTACAGCGTGCATTTTGCGTAGCGAGTGACGATGAAACGTTAAGGCCCGTTCACACTCTTGCGACCGAGTACGGCTGAGAAATACCAGACCGGTTTTTAAGCCTCTTGCGATCTCTTAGGACCAGCTCGGCAGCATCGCATCCGGTCCTAAGAAGTCGCAAAATGCTTAAAAGCCGGTCTGGTCTCTCTCGGTCTGACTTGGTCGTAAGAGTGTGAATGGCGACGTAGTGTCGATGAAACGTGTCTACAAAACGTGTTTCGGCAAAAACGTGTTTTCACAAAACGCCAGGAGAATAGGAAAGTCAGTATTATACCTGCGGTTAGTCACATGATTGTAGTCAGCTAATGGCAGGCGACTGCCGATAGAATTTCGGGGAAATTATTCTCCCGGCTGCGAGAAAATAGACACTGCCTAATTCTAGAAGTAATCCGGAACGGAACTGTCAATTGTTGCAAAGGAGTAGGTTGCAGAGCACTTACGATGAAAACGCCGGACTCGAAATATGTAATCCGAAATATATGTCGACACGGGCACTGCAGAACAACACAAAAACGAAAGGAAAGGGGTCCGTGAAGATCCAACACAATGTAGCAGAAGCAGTAGTTCGCCGAACCGAACACTAAACTCATCAGAAGAATTCCTTGGGCTTTTCTGAAGAACTCGCTTGTTGCCGATATACTCGTAGGACTTGTCAAACACTAAAAATCTTGGCACACTCGAATACAT